ATCTCAAAAGCTTATCCTGGAGGCATGACCAGGGTCCAGTGGTTCTCATAACTCCTCCAGGGTAGACTGGCTGGTGTAGGGCATCTTTATTTGCCACCATTTTCAACTGTGCCTATATAGCTCTTTGCTGTCCAGTCCAGCAGATGTCTTTTGGGTACCATCCATATGCCCAGTACTGTACTAAAAGTTGTAGGCTTTCCGACAATAACCAAGAGTATCTCAGACCTTAGAGGACTTATAATATGGCAAAGAGTCAGCAGCACAGGACAGGGGTCCTCAAAGGGACACAGCTAAATTTTTCAGTGGTGGTGGGGAGGGTGGTATCAAAGGAGAGAGCGAGAAAACATCCATTTGGGAGGATGCAGGAGGTCCACACGAAGAGATGGCCTTGAAGAAGGGATAGAGTGAAAACCAACAAAATAGGGGCAATGAGATGAGCGTGGCACAGCAGAGAACCAGACAAGTGTGGGAGTGTCAGGAAGAAAGTCAGTAGCTCGGTTGGTGGTGAAACATAAGCACGTGTGGAAGTGGGCTGGGACAATGAAGTGAGGGAGCTTTTAGAGCCAGGGAGGGGCGTGTCCTCTTAATCTCTCACCTGCTTTGCACCCTGAGATGCATCTTTTGTGGTTCCACAGCTCAAACGTCCTGTGTTGGAGGCTAACTTTTCATCCATGTAGCAGTTGCCTCTCCAGCTAGATTCTTGCAGAGCTCTGCCCTCCTTTGATTGCTTTCTACACCCCCACATATGTGGCACACTGCTTTGTATATTCCAGCTAGTTAATACAGACTTGTTCACCAGACAAAATATTTATATGTTTTGAGCAGCTTCTCCATAGCAAGTTACCACCTTGTGGTGTGGGGACCACGTGGTGTTGGCACAGGCAGAGTAAGTGGAGGTGGCTAGTCTACGAGCATTCATTTAGAACCTATTCTGTGTCTATGCAGTGGAAAGCACAGCGGGGGCACAAAAAATATGAGAAATACACTTTGCATGAGAGGGATTCCGGCTTTCACAGAGAGACGGTTTACCACCAGAAACAGCTGGAGAATCATGTAACTCAGTTTCACTTGAGCCCTGTACTGTGTGGAGTCGGACGGCTTCATGGAGGAGGTGGGACTTGTGCTGAGATTCACAGGGTTGGTGTGATTTTGTGGATAGGAGTGAGGAGGGCTTTCTAGGTGAGGACAACAGCATAAGCAAAGTCTCAGAGGTAAGAGAGCAGGCATAATGAGACAATACAATGACTGCCTCATTTTAAGGGAAGTTGAACTGAGCCAAAAAGGGTACAAGGTTAGATAAGTAGATCGGAGCCAAACTACGTAGGCGTGGGCCACCAGAACAAGAGGCTCTATGCAGTAAATCAAATATGCATGGGTCTACTGTGGGAATGACTTGATATGCAAACATTTTTAGGTTAATCTGTACAAGAATCAGCGTTGGACCCCACATCTCAAATCATAGTGTCCACAACAGTCACGTGGGCATCTTGTGAAGATGCAGAGCCTGATTCATACACCCTCTGGGGTGGGGCCTGAGAGTCTGCATTTCTGAGTAGCAACCAGGTGATAGTGGTCATGTCCGTCTGCAGCCCCCACTGAGTAGCATCCGTGTACAACCTGGCTTAGAGAGGGAGGATCTGGACAGTCTTATGTCTTTGTCATTAAAAACCATCCATGCTACTCAGTGGCAGGAGGAGGAAGGTCAAAGGAGGGAATGTGAAGGCATCTGTGGTACTCAGAGCCAGCATGCCAGAGCTCACCAAAACCATTTACTCTTCCCAGGCCTAGTTAAATTGATCGGTGGTCAGGACTCATTGTCACTGTCCTGGAGAAACTTCCACCTCGGTCTCCTTAAGGACCAGCTGTGGGACTACCCATTTTTCTATTGGTTCCTCAGCCAACTTCTCCCAGTTTGCCTTCGAGTCCGTGGTGGCCATCGCCAACAGTCTGCACAACAGCAAGGACCTGAGCAAGGACCAGCATGGGAGGAACTGCCTGCTGGCTTCGTACGTGCACTACGTCTTCCGCCTGCCAGAGCTGCAAAGGGACATGCCCAAGTCAGGTAGAGTTGCCCTGAACATGGGACTCTTGTGGGCAGGGCATCACAACCTCCACCCCACTGCAGTGTGATACAAAATAAAACATCCTATGCTGGGTGCAGTGGCTCACATCTGCAGTCCCAGCACTCTAGGAGGCAGAGATGGCAGGATCACTTGGAGCCAGAAGTTGGAGACCACCCCAGGGAACATAACGAGACCCCGTCTCTACAAAAAATATAAAAATTAGCAGAGCAAGGTGGCACATACCTGTAGTCCCAGCTACTCAGGAAGCTGAGGCAGGAGGATCACTTAAGCCCAGAGTTGGAGGCTGCAGTGAACCATCATTGTACCACTGCACTCCAGCCTGGGAAACACAGCGAGGTCCCATCTCTTAAAACAAACAAACGAACACCCTAAAATTCCATTTTAGTTTTCAGAACAATACAAAACTTACATGAATGCTGAAATTATGTGTTTCTTTATAGATCTTTCTTCCTCCCTTGCCTCTTTTTATGCTCTAAACACTTATTTGGTCTGCCCATTTGATAATCCCTCACTGGTCTTTACCCACTTGCTAATTTATGATTCAGCTGAGAATCTCTTTTTTAAGATGGAGAAGTGGTGACTGATGCCTTGGATTCTAGTATAATAAAGGAAATAAGATGTATCCAATGACAGTGGTTCTTAAACTTTTTGTTATTAAAAAAAAAATCCCTTTTCACATTTCCCTCAAACTAAACTATTGAAATAATAGTAATGCATTTCCCCAATTCTTCTTAATTATTTACATAGGTAATAATCAAGTAGAACTTCTTGTCAGCATGATATAAACATTAGCATCAGTGAGTTCACAAAATTGCAGGCCCAAATAAACATGGCACTTTTGTTGGTCTGTGCAACCTCATTTCTAGCAAATCTGAAAATTTGATTGAGTTTTTAAAAATACTAGTGATGTGGCTGGGTGCGGTGGCTCTCGCCTGTAATCCCAGCACTTTGGGAGGCCAAGGTGAGCAGATCACTTGAGCTCAGGAGTTCAAGACCAGCCTAGGCAACATGGTAAAAGCCCACCTCTACAAAAATTACAAAACTTAGCCAGGCGTGGTAGCAGGTGCTTGTAGTCCCAGCTACTCAGGAGGCTGAAGCAAAAGGATCACTTGAACTTGGGAGGCGGAGGTTACAGTAAACCGAGATCGTGCCACTGCACTCCAAACTGGAGGACAAAGTAAGACCCTGTCTCAAAAAAATAAATAAATAAATAGTAATATCTCAGACTCCCATAACCACTTGTGAAAACATGTCAACATTTAAGGATGAAAAACAGCTGTATGCATCATATACAGTAGTCCTCACAAGGTTCAGATGACTGTATGGATTTTTGAATCTGAGAAAACCTCACTGCATGAATTGTAAAGCTGTCATCATTTCAATATTGATAAATTAAAAATACCCACATTTTTAGCTTCTCATGAGAAATCAGAAGCTCTAGCAACCCTGGGGTCCATTTCCCGATAGCAGTAATAGACTGGAGCCAGTAGTACCCCCTGCCTTTGTAAGAAGCATGTGTCGGCTGTTTACCACAATCTCCACCACTCCCTGGTGCCGTATGCCCCATCTACTTCTCTCCAAAAGATTGCCTCCTTGCCCCAACCTGGGTTTGCTAAGAAGACCCTAATTCCAAGGCCTAATCCAGTGGCTTTTCAACAACCCTATCCCTCTTCAGTTCCTTCTTAAACTCCGTGAGTGATTCTGTTCCCCTGTGTGTTGACATGTCTCTGCCTGGTGGGGTGCAGGCGCTCCCACTGCCCTCCCCGACCCTCGCTACCACACCTATGGACGCACGTCAGCTGCTGCTGTGAGTTCAAAGCTGCTGCAGGCCCGGGTGATGAGCAGCAGTAACCCAGACCTCGCGGGGACACACTCCGCAGCGGACGAGGAAGTGAAGAACGTCATGTCTTCAAAGGTACGAAAGGTGGCAAACCCTGGAAGGGGACACAGGCTTTTTTATTTTTTAACTAAAACTTGGAGAAATAACACAAAAGCAACCAGTGCTGCTGCCCACTGTGCTGATCAGACGCTTTCATGCTCAGCTTTGGAGTGATTGACGTTCTTTAGAACCGATTAAGACCATTCTGACAGATGCGGCAGCAAGACCAGCATCTGAGGATTTGCTGAGAACTGCTTAACTCGGGTAGCAACGTTTTAGAGTATCAGGGGTTTAGCCATGTGCAGTCATGTGGCTGAACCATGCATTTTATTTTCAAGGAAAAAAAAATAGCTTTAACTTTTGATACCTAGAAAGGTTGCCTTTAATTCTGTTTTGTTGCTTTAATATCTACCTCTTACGTTCATTAACATCCACAGATTGATTATCTCACAAAAAAAAAATCCCGAGGAGCGGCTGGGCGCGGTGGCTCACGCCTGTAATCCCAGCACTTTGGGAGGCCGAGGTGGGCGGATTACTTGAGGTCAAGAATTCAAGACCATCCTGGCCAACATGGTGAAACCCCATCTCTACTAAAAATACAAAAAAATTGGCCAAGCGCGGTGACTCA